TTATGGGTCCAGCAGTGCTAGACTCGCTAGCACCATGCCCAAAAGGGACTTGGGGGTCATGATCGACCACAAGATGAACATGAGCTACCAATGCATTGTTGCAGCTGGTAAGGTGAACAAAACTCTGGCTTGCATCCATAGATGCTCGTCAAGTAAATCTCAGGATGTCATCCTCCCACTCTACTCAGCCTCGGTGAGGCCACAGCTGGATTACTACATCCAATTCTGGGATCCACAATTCAAGAAGGATGTGGAGAAGCTTGAGAAAGTCCACAAGAGAGCCACGTGCATGAGCAGAGGGCAAGAAAACAATCCTTATGAAGAGAGACTGAGAGCCATGGGACTCTTCAGCCTGGAAAAGCACAGGCTCAGGGGTGACCTGGTGGAAGCCTATATGTATATAAGGGGTGTACATCAGGATCTTCGGGAACGTCTGTTCACCAGAGCTCCCCAAGGGATGACAAGCTCAAATGGTCACAAACTCTTCTAAGACCATTTTAGGCTGGACATAAGGAAAAACTTCTTTATTGCCTGAGGCCCCAAGGCCTGGAATAGACTCCCTCCAGAGGTGGTACAAGTACCTACTCTGGACACTTTCAAGAAACATTTGGGCACTTATCTTGCTGGGGTCCTTTGGCCCTAGCTGACTTCCTGCCCCTGGGGCAGGGGGCTGGAATTGGTGATCTTCCTAGGTCCCTTCCTACCCTAATGTCTATGAAATCTAGTCCCAAGTCAGTCCACACACAGCATTGCTGAGCTATAATGTCTGCGTATGTAAATTCTGATATAAAAGCCACTTACTGTGCAGGAAATGAACACGTAGACATGCCCTGTAGTAAGTGGGAGCAAAACCACGATGTGTTAGGTCTCAGTAAAGTTTGCATGTAGTAGACCTGTCTCACCATCTGAGGGTAACAATTTTATCACTGCCAAAGATATAAATTTGAGCTTATATATCAGCTCATAAGGAATTAGGTCTGGAAGGGACCAAACAAGTTAATTTAGTTCAGCCCCATGCTCAAGGCGAGATTATGCATGATTAAAACATTCCAGTCAAGTGTCTGTCTAACCTGCACTTGAAAATTTCCAAGGATGATGATCCTACAACATCTCTAGACAGCCACTTCTAATATTTAATTACACTTATAGTCAGACAGTATTTCCTAATATTCAACCTAAATTTCTTCTACTGTACCTTGAGGCCATTGCTCTTATTCCTGCTCCCAATAGCCAGAGAGAAAAGTCTATCTCTGCCCCCTTATAATCTCATTTCAGGTATTTGAAGACTGTTCACAAATCCCCCGTCCGTCTTCTTTTCCCCAAACTAAATAACCCTAGTTCTCTCAGCCTTTCTTCATAAATCTTATTCCCCAGACCTGAAATCACATTTGTCACTCTCTGGTTGTAGTCTTTCCAATCTGTTTACATCTTTCTTGAGGTGTGGGGCACAAAAAAGAACACAGTACTCCAGGCCTTCCCAGTACTGTACTGAATAGAGCAGAAGAATTACTTACCTCAAATTACAAGAGATGCTTCTGTTAATACAACTTAATATTAAAAGGCTTTTGTGCAACAAGAGCACAATGTTGGCTTATATTAAGCTTATGATCCCTAGGTCCTTGTCTGCAGTACTGCAGCCTAGCCAATCATTTCCCAGTCTGTATTTGTGCACTCAATTATTATGTCCCAAGCAAAGGACTTTGGATCTGTTCTTGCTTAATTTTATCTCATTGATTGTAGACCATTTCTCCAATTTATCTATGTCATTTTGGAACCTAGTCCTCCCCTCCAGAGTGTCTGCAAATCCATCTAACTGGGTGTTATCACAAATTTGTGAAGTGTGCACTCAATCCCATCATCCAACTCATTAATGAAGGCTCTAATAATATCAAACCCAGCACAGACCCCTGGGGCACCCCACTTAATACCTTCTCCCTACTAAACATTATGATGCAGTTGTTACATCTGCATTATTTTGTAGCAATACAAGGTAGTAAAACTGCTCAAGCTGTGAACCTGGTTTCTGAAGGGTCAAAGTAAGTTTGTGTGATTTAATTTCAATCATGAAGTTACATAACAGCTGATGCAGTTCCCTTTTCCATTTCCAAGTGTCTAAAATGTTTGGTTGCCTATACCTCTAATCCTGGTATTTTTGCAAAATTACAGTAATAATCCAAATCTTGAAAACAATTTATGGCTTGGTAATTAAACAGAAAGATATGAAAACTGTATGAGGAAATCACTGATTTATACAATATTCAGGTTACATATCCAGAGTCTAAGTAATTCTCACAATTCAGACATATAATTTGCTTCAACCAGAGAATTCCAACAGGAGTATGAGAAAATGAAGTTGTTCAATCTATGCAGATCATCGCTAATGTTGTAGCTCTTCCCATTGGTATTCACTGCAGTAACATGAACCATGAAGAGCTCATTTAGTACAAATGTAGATGTTATAATATGTGCACTTCCATGGGAATTCCATTGTAATGCAACATCAAGTATACCATTGGAGTATAACATTTTCTTGAAATCGTGTACTGCCTGATGCCTAAAGTCAAATGAAGCATGTCTGGTATGTGTGCATAAAATATATATTTTTTCTTTGCAATCAGTTAAGACAGTGAAATAATTACTTTAGAAAGTACCTGAAAGATTGTTTTTTTTAACGGACACGATTGAGAGGCAACAGTATTTACAAGTAAATCATGGATGGTGGTGCTAGCTATAGACAAAAATGAACTATGTACAAGAATACAATACTTCATTTTTATTATACTTACTGCAATAAGGCAATTGTGTGATAATTACAAACAGAGGGCATGATGCTGCAGTCATTTTTCAGGTAAAACTCCCATGGACTTCAGTTATATGAAACTATATGGGCTGTAAAACATTTCACTCAGAATGTTACAGTATATGACAAGGACCACATGAAGCAATTGTGGAAACAGATGTATCAACGAGTTTCATTTTCAATATATTGTTTTATTTGGTCCAGTGAAACTAGTAAGTTGTTTTGTAGTGTTCCGTGTTCTTTGATAATTGTAAAATTAACAATTTTCACTGCTGCATTAATACAGAACTAATGGTTTTAATTACATGTAGGGCTCTATGGACTTGTATTACATACAATTCAATATTTGAATCAACCAAACTAAGGGAAATTGTTGATGCCTCTTCAAATGAGTTAAAAAGCCTTTATTAATTCATAAAAACATTATTAAAAATAAAACAGTGAAAGCAATAATACAATCCTTCCAGGAGGAAAAAAAAAAAGTATTGCTGCAATGAACAGTCTTTGAGATTACCATTGAAAAATTTTATATGCCTTCTTCCATGGATAGAGGAAAAAAAACGGTTCCCCCCAAAAATGCATTTCTGCTCCGATATTTTGGATCTTCCCAGATCACATACCTCTCATGGGCCCCACCAGAACTCAGAAATCTGAAGTTGACTCCTCCATCACTTTCTACACGGTTCAACCCTCTTCTCCTGTAGCTGCTGATCAAAGGGATAGAGCTGTAACCATATACTCATAGGTAGAATAGGCATTCCTAGTCCATTCTCTGAAGGGATGTGTGAGCAGAAGAGACTGGGGAAGAAGACAAGCCCCAAGGAACTTGTGTGGGGAACACTTACCTGAAGTGCTGAGGAAAGCCCAGCCAGAGCCAGGAGCAAGCCAACATCCTTCTGCAGTACATGCTTCCTCTGGATTGGTGGATGGAGTGCGACAAGAAGTATTTCTGGTCCTGGAGAGGTGCAGCTGAGAAACAGCTGCAGCTGGCAGAGCAGGGAGATGCCAGAGGCCTTTTCAGCCAAGAGTGGCCTGCAGCTAACCATGGAAAAAAACTGGCGAGGACATTGGTGAGGGTGATTGCAGGACCACCTATACAATCTCAGATACGCTAAGCCACAGGATTGCCTGAGAACAACTGGGCAAGGAATGAAACAGCAGAGATGAAGGCCAGGTGACAGCAGAACAAGGGAGAATGAGGGTGCAGCCACTGTAAGTAGTTCTGTGAGTTTTCAGGGACATACCCCCTTGATTCTCACTCTTCTTATTTGTCTTTTTTAAATTTTTTTTGGATGGTGTTTCATTCTCTCATCAGGCTGGAAGAACAGCAGGAGGCCAAGATCCACTCCCTGCAAATGTTCATTGACTCTGAACTTGGCAAAATGAAGCAGGGTAAGAACCCTGGTGATATTAATTGTTGAGTAGATGAACCCAAGAACTGGGGGAGGATGCAACTCCAATTGATTGATTGTCTGAAGGATCCTTGGAGGGCTGATTTAATTTAATTGACCCAGGAACTGGGAATGCATTAATTTAATATTTTCCCCCTTTTTTCTTGAGCATCTGGTGGACCCTAGGTAGGATGACTTCATTTAGACCAACCCAAGAACCTGAGGAGTGAATTGATTGGAGGTTTGTCTTATTGACTTTAGAATGGACTTATCTCAATTAAGGGACTTTGGGTCCTATAAGGAATTAATTGAAGGCTGGTCTCAGGGAGCCTGAGTGAATGGACTTAACTCGTGAACCTTATTTGGCAAGCCAGCCAGCAATGGCCAGTGGCATATTCAGGCAAAACAAGATCCTACCTTAGACACATATCATCAGGGCTGTGGTAAGGGTGGAGTGTAAGGAGAGGAGGAGCCCCATGAAGAAACCCCTCTGGGGGAGGACCCAGTGAAATCATCACTCAGTCTACACCCAATTCCCAAGTATTAAAATAGATATACATCAAGCCATGGTGGGTGAGAGAAGAACATCTGAGAAAGGCAGTGTTGAGACCATCTGGTTCCCCACAATAGCACATTCAAGTAGGGTGCTGAGCAGACGGTGGTTTCAGCCTTATAATACCCACCCCCAACAGGTAGAAGGAAAGGGGAGCAAGGCTGTTACTTAGAAAATGTAAGAGCTTTCACTCTATTAATAAACCCAAGCAGGGGATCCACAAAAAGGAACTTCTGTACTAACAGGAAGGAATTCATTGCTTCACAAGGCGGGGGGAAGGGGAGATATGGCCCTCTTGTATATTTTCAGGCATACTACTGTCTGGAAGCCATGCATTGTCACTGTTTCTTTTGACAAATATTGTCTACAAAGTAGATAAATGCTCAATAAATATGCACTTGTGCTTTGTTACCAATTCTACTCCTTGATGTAGGAGGTAAGAGTGTAAAAACATGTTTCACACCATCTGTTTTGTTCATTAGTGGAAAATATTCCTTCCAACCTTGCATAGCAAAACTATAACTCTCAGCTGCTTCCCCTTCAGGAACTGGGCTTTTCCCTACTAGATTGAATAAAGTACATGTTCTGTAGTCAAAGCCATCCAGTAATGACATGTGATGCATCTTGCTCTTTCTTTTTCTTCCTTTTTTTTCCTTTCCTTTTATTTTATTTATTTTTATTTTATATTTTTCATGGTTTTTGATACATCTCTTGTCACATTTTGATCCTTTATTGTTATTTATATATTGTGCTGAAATTTAATTATCCTCAATGTGCCAAGGGTTAAGAAGTCTAATGAAGAAATGACCTAGCATATTATTTGAGAAGGCACCTTTTGCATGGTTGTTTGAATGGGACTGAGTATGAAGCTGACATTTCATATTATTGTTTGGTATAAAACTGCTATAACCTCTCACCAACCTAAGCCTCTAATGCTATTTTGGCTCACTCTGTTACAATCACGAGAAGGTTATTTATTGCAAAAGGTTATTTCTTCTTTCCTAGCTTGAGCTCTGTGTTTGCCAGACCTGATCTGGGAGATCCTTATGTCTCAGTGTCAGCTCCATGGTCATGAAGCTGGTAGTGGGAAGTTCTTCTCTCCCAGCCTGAACCCCACATTTATAGAATCTGGGCTGTGAGATCCTTCTCTCCCAGTGCCATCACTGTGACCATGGAGCTGCCACTAGGACAGAAGAATCTCTCAGTGCCAGTTCTGCAGTCATGGGGCTGGTGCTGGGAGATAAGGATCTCCCAGCCCAGGCCCCATGATTGCAGGGGTTGGGCTGGGAGATAAGGATATCCCAGGAAGGCACCACTACTGTGGGACTTGGGCTGGGAGATAAGGATCTGCCAGCCCCATGATCAGAGAGTGGGGGCTAGGGGAGAAGAATCTCCCAGCACTGGTCCCACAACTGCAGAGTTGGTGCTGGGAGATAAGGATCTCCCACTCCCAGCCCTGCAATCATGGAACTGGGACTGGGACCTCTCTCCTGCTAGGGCAGAGGGACATTGTCCCTGTCCAGGGTCTGGTGGTACAGCTCACCTGGCAACAAGCAACTCCCTAGGCCAGGGAGCAATCTACCACCCCCTGCTGTCTGGCTGACCAGAAATACCTTTGCTCCCCATCAGGTGTCTACATGTGCACTATTAGGCAGTAAGCAAACTCGAGTAAATTTGCTACTTGCATTTGCACATAGCAAATTTACTCATGGTTAGAGCTACTTACTGCATATTAAGCATCAACATGTGAAGACACGGATGCTTACTGCACAGTTATTAACTCTACTGCACAGTAAAGCATCTCATGTAAATGTGCCCAAAGGGA